TATTGCCTTTCTTCCTTGCACGCACATTCTGATTTTTTATGGCATAATCCAGTGTCAGTGTGCCATCACACGTTATTTTTGGATCTAGTTTGCAGGATTGAATTTAATCTTCCATATTCAAAACTATGCCTCAATTTCTTCCTCTAATACCCCCAAAAACTCGTTTTTCTCGAGATTGACTTTCCAGCGTCCATCATCTGTTGTACTTATCCTTCGTTAAGTTTGCCTTTTGTGTTCGATTCCATCTCTAAGTCATCGTATAGTCCTAAGACACTATTATTTGGACACCGACCAGAAATAAAGTGTACAGCGTGCTTTCTTCTTCTGCATATTCTGCGTAGTTCTTATTTTGAGATACCTAAGTATTATGTACCTATATCTTGAAAAGCGTATAGATACCTTTCTTTAAGATCTTTTTTGACTTTTTGAACCCTTGGTCATCATAGCCATTGTTTTATTTTCACGTTCGCCTAGCTCATTCTTGTATTAGTTTTTCAATTTGCTTATAGTTGTAGGTTTATTCTAGTTGCTGACGTCTCCAAAAGTTCTGATCATAGAAATACGTCTATACATTGTCGCATCTGTCCTTTTTTCCTTTTCGGTGAATCGTGGATATGTAAGAAGTTTTATATTCCTCTTTGGTTCCGTAGGAGTACCTATTTATGGAGCAGCTTCCGTATTCGACACAATAGTTGTTCTTTGCTATATTTGTCAACTATTTCTTAGTCCAGGAGCGTTATTTCTAGATAAGATATACACATTTTCTATAGCTGCAAAATCGGGGAGCCATTAGTTTGGCCAATAGGTATCTCCTTGTGATCACGTCGAGGAAGTTTTAAGCAACACATTGGAAGCAGGATCTTTAGGATGCACCTCTGCGTGTGCTGCTATATTACTATGTTATAATTGAAGAAAAATATTGCTTAGACATACGTTCAGAAAACCATCGCAATCTTGATTGGTTTTTTCTTTGAACTAAAGACCCGTTAGCTCGTTAGCATTACCTACAAGAGTCTAGTCGTAGGAATACGGCGAACTCGAGACACCGTTGCCAAATGTAACCTAATGAGTGCTTGTCTCTGTATGTTGGTATTTTCGACAAAAAGATCTAATCCAAACTAACTCGAACTAACCCGTACATTGTATGTTGGTATTTTAGACGAGAAGAGCTAATTCAAGCTAATCCGTCCTCATACTAAGTGCTAGTTTTTGTATGTTGATATTTTAGACGAAATGAGCTATTCCAAAGTGACCCGTCCTTATCTCATACTAAGTACTAGTCTTTGTAAGTTAGTATTTTAGATGGAAAGAACTAATCCAAGCTAACCCAAACTAACCCGTCCTCATACTAATTGCTAGTCTTTGTATGTTGGTATATTAGACAGACGAAAAGAGCTATTCCAAACTAACCCATCCTCGTAATGAATTCTTCGTAATTCTTCTTTGTATGTTGGTAATTTAGACGGAAAGACCTAAACCATACTAACTCGTCCTCGTAATGTATGCTAGTCTTTGTATGGTGGTATTTTGAACGAAAAGAGCTAATCCGTCCTCCTGATAATCCTTAGGAAAAAAATAAAAATAAAAACCCTACGGAAGCGCAGAGAGACCACCTATCCTAGGACGGGTTAGTTTCAATTCAATCCTTGGATTAGCGCTCTTTTTATCTAAAATACCAAGACACAGAGGCTCGCATTCATTACAGAGAGACGGGTTAGTTTGGATTAGCTCTTTTCGTTTGAAATACCAACATACAGAGACAAGCACTCATTACGATATATTTGGCAACGGTATCTCGAGCTCTCCCTATTCCTACGACTAGACTCTTGAAATGCTACCAGTTTGTATTTCAAAAATAGGTGTTTCTGGGATGAAAATTGAAGCAGAATGAGGCAGGACCATAGCAACACAAGCAGGAATATGTTTGAGCGATCCTGCTTCCACTTCCAATGTATTCCCAAGCGAAGGGTAAAGTTACGAACCATAATGAAAATCCCTGTATCTCGAAAATAGTACGTGTAGCCGGGGTGCGATTTAAAGCCGGATGAGGTAGGACCATAGCAACACAAGCAGGAACATGTTTGAGCGATCCAGCTTCCAGTGTATTACAAAGGGTAAAGTTAGCAACCAAAATAAAAATCGCTGTATCTCGAAAATAGCACGTTATGCCGGAGTCAGATTTGAAGCAGGATGAGGCAGGACTATAGCAGTACAAGCAGGGACCTGTTTTAGCGATCCTGCTTTTAATGTGTTGCCAAGGGTGAAGTCAGCAAATAAAATAAAAATCGCTGTATCTCGAAAATAATATCTGAAACAGCGATCCTGCTTCGAATGTGTTGCTAACTGCCCCGACATCTTGTGATTCCATTCCATGATCTGTGTTTGGAGCTATGAATATTTCTTTTTTCAATATTCTTATAACTTTTTAACTAACCGTGCTTCTTCTAACTCCTACGATATGTTTCTTTTTTCTGGCATCTTCTAGTCCCCTAGATTCGTTTTTCTGTGGTCCAATCATTCTTTTTATTTTTGTTTGTACGATCCTATAATCTTGCTTCATCTGATTCTGCTTACGTCTGTTTCCCTATCACTCTATTCATCCCACCAGTGAAGCTGTCTTCTTTTAGAATTCTCTTCTCGTCGACCTAATCCTTCTTTTGCAAATATGGGGTTTCGTCTTGCTGATATCGGCGTTTTTCTGCACGTTGGACTTTCATCCTATATTTTCAGTTTCTTTTTGTGTTTAGTTATTAGATAATCGATCATTGATTTTAAATTCTGGTTGGTTAAGGGGTACTCCTTATGGATATTCAGGTATTATTGGATTTGCAAGTCCGACTGTTTGCAATGTAAAATGAATCTGTTTCAATATCGTTGAAAACAACTTTCTCATGTCGAAAAACAATGACTATTTAGCCTTCCACCTGTTCCACTGTTTATGCTTCCTAAGACTAATATCTCCCTCGAGGTCTCTCTAGACACACTGACTGATGATATTTCTTTGTTGATTACTTCAAAGAAGCTGATGTCATATCATATATACATCACAGATTCCAAAAATCATGAGTCGATACCAAATAAGTATACACATTTTATTTTCATGGCATGAGTTTTTCGTATATGGCTGCCCAGTAATCCCAGTTGATGATTTCGTTGTATCCTGGCTAACTTTAACTAATATGGATGGATACCCCTTGTTGGACGCGTTTTCCTTTGTAACTCCGCTCCTACTTTCAGTTACAAGATTAAAAAATATCACACACTTGGTTATTTATACACCAAGGGAGTTGAATTAATGTTTATTCATGAGCAGGAAGTTTATCCCACCAACCCGTGGAGTGAGTAGGCTAATTTCTGCAAATTAATAAACATTTTTTAACGTGATGTATACAAAATTTTATCCCATTTCTATGGAAATTCCAAAAATAAATTACATAAATACAAGGAATCAGGTTATAAAGTGTTTGTTACAGATTTTTATATGTGCAGGGTGTTTCAAAATATCGAGATTGAGCAACCTTGTGATATAGTATAGGTATACTTACTGGCTATTAAGAATTTCCAGAGCGCAAAAAAAAAGTTTTCTACTTTTCTCATAGTGTTTAAAAAACCTAAGCTTGAAAAAATATTTGTGAATCCTTAAAAAATTGTTTTACAGTTGTAGTTGACCATGCAGGAAGACCCAGATATGCCTACAAATTATGACTTTTTTTTTATCAAGTTATAGTATGCATTTAGCAATAATAATTTGCCTCCAGTAGAAGAGCTTCTCAAGTGTCTGTATTGACTGTATTCTAGTAACATTACATACTTATGTCCAAGAAAATCATTTTCAAAGGTAGAAAACGTTGGAATAGAAAAATTGGGGAAAATGTTTGCGCTGATTTGTGATCGTACATCACATCTATCTAACGAATCTTTTGATAAAAGTTATGTACCTTCGCCACTGACGGAGTCTTAGAAAAAAAAATATCAGAAACCGACTATTGAAATATTAATTGTTATTCTGAAGTAGGTAGGTACATTATACATTACGACCCAGGAAAAAGCATACATTTTTACACGTTTTCAAAAAAAATATTAGCTATATACTTACGTCACAATTATCCATCGGTCGAAATTTACTTGATTTGATCATCGTTCCAGGCAGATCGTTGTTAGCAACAGATTATCAACTTCTCATTTCAGATTTTTTGTTTTAATGAATCGATAAAAGGCTTTAACAACCCTTCTAAACATGGACACGCGCTATTGACTTTCCGGAAATCCATCCACGTGTGTAATAACGCAATAAGGGAAATAGATCAACATATGTTGAAAAATTGACCCCAAACACCGCTCACTAATTACTGGATAGAGATTTTTAGCTTATAGCGTTTAGTCATGGTGGAATGATTTTTAGGGTTAGAAGTCTTGAAATTTGAAATAATCACCCCATTTTTTCTATGCAAAATCTCTATGCAAATTCAACTATTTGTCACAGTGGCACTCAATTCGCACAAATTGCACAAACCGATCCTTTTTTTTATGACAGTCATCTTTCGATAATTATTTTTTAAACTTGTCACCCCAATACCTCCCAATTGATTGATTCTATTCATAAAAAAATAAGGCCTATATGATGGCCCGAAACCCCAGACGGTAGAATTTAAATTTATAATGAGCAGGATGCGTTAAAAAGTATAGAAACTTTTTTTTGGGGAGGGTGCAAAATTATGTTACTTTGCTTATATTTTTCAAGAAAGTAGGTAACTCTCATAGATCATTTATCATAAAAAAATGTCAAAACATTCACACCCCTATAATTAAATCAGGAAAAGCCAATTATTATACACCCTCTCTCAAAAAAAAAGCTCATATGTTACCCTTTAAAACTATGCCTATTTGAAGGGTGAGTGGTTCGTGCCCAGGAAATCTGACCACATGGTAACATATTGCGTAATTTGTACCTACATTTATCTATAATTATTATTTAACTTTCATAGGTAGCAGGTTTACTTGTTTTATAAGAGGGTGGCGCCCTTAGGGAAAACACACAGGTGTTAAAGTCAGTTTTATATAAGGGCTCTACATATGAATAATCTATTATCGGGTTGAATTACATTTTGTAGATTATTATGGAGGAATCATCTTCGCTAAAAGTAGAAACCCTTTGTAAAGTTTGCGGCGATAAGGCTTCAGGAAAGCATTATGGCGTGTCAAGTTGCGATGGTTGTAGAGGATTTTTCAAAAGAAGCATTAGAAGGTAAAAAATCTGAAATGTACTAACTTATATTTAGTGTAGAACAGGTATGTTTTCAGGAATCTAGAGTACAGTTGCAAAGAAAACGGAAGATGTGTTGTCGATGTTACTAGAAGAAATCAGTGTCAGGCTTGTAGATTCAAAAAGTGTCTACAGGTCAATATGAAAAGAGATGGTAAGTTATTATTTTTTCGTTCTGTATATTTAAGTAGATCTTGGAAAAGATACACTTTAAGAAGAGTGTAAATGTCATCCCTTCGGGCTATGTGTGAGAATAGCAGGGTGAAGTAAACATCGCTTTTAACCCCCCACAATGGCTTTCGTTTCGCGCGCCCTTCTGAGACCCTTTTTACTAATTTGTTTATCTAGGTGATAATGACGTGAAGTGGTACGTTTTTGATTATTGTGTGTATGTGGGGAGATATTTCTTGATGATGTTTTTTGCGGCCTATTGGTTCAATTAAGTTGAATCATACATATTTGTGCATGTTGGAGTCATTCGGGATTTTTCTTATAAAATTTGAGTTCCAGAGGTTGATTGGCCGTTTCGTTCTAACTATTTATTTATTATTAAGGGAAACATCCGATTAGCCTTGACAGTTGAGATATTTAATTATGGCCGAGTTCGTTTTTGTCATCCTTTTCGTCGATTTGCTCTGAAAGTTTGACAGGCACGTGACTGGATCAGACAATTTCAATTTATAAATCACGTGTCTGTCAAAATTTCGGAGCAAATCTATGAAAAAGATGCCAAAATCGAACTCAGCTTATGTAACCTTTGAAAGAATTATTTAGGTACGTTCAAGGTGAGTTTGTGGATCTGTATTATTAATTCATGTTTGCCAAGTCTAAATAAAGCTTAACACGGAGATTTTTCTCAAATGTTGAAGCTATACTTAGGTATGGGAAGTGTGTTAATTTTTTTATTATTATTTGATAAATTATTAATTAATTAAAATATGATTTTACCTATATTATCTTTATAGAAATGGCTTTAAGTCAATTTTTGATAGTCTGAACATTCCGTTCTGCTAAACCATTCGTAGCAGGACTACTTATACCTGGTGCAATGAATTTTGAGAATATACCATAGGTTTTACAAAAGAGATTGACAAAAACTTTTGCGATGTATGAGAGAATAAGTTGAAGATATCCATGGAATCAAAATATTTTTTTCAGCAATTCGATGGTTTCTTCACAAAGCATTAAAGCAATATATATTAGATATCGCCTTGAAAGCTCTCTACCATTTTTACCAACTTGCTTTTTGTCTCTGAAAGTTGTTCTGACAGGCTCTTTTAGCTCTTTAATAAAGTCAAAAAATTCCCTCATATAGCAAGTTCTAGCCTTCAAAGTTACTAAAGTCAATATGGGGTATGAGGCGGAATTCTGTAACGGATAGAGATCTTTCATCGATATTGCTATGGTACTTGCTGTCTTCTCTCTTTTCGAAATCAATAGAGAGGGGACGTCAATAGAGATAGCGAATATATCGCTATTCGTTATAGAATACATTTCTGCTATAATATAGAACATTATATCTCTATAACAATTTGGCCTGAAAAAGTTGCAGAGCATTCAGCTATTCTAGGAAGCCTCATTAGACTGAATCTTAATCTGCTTGAAATCACATTATGCAGCCGATACCCAACAGCAAATCATAATTCAACCATTTCTCGCCGGTATTCGGTAGTGCCCCACTGCTACACTTACCTTAAATAGTATAATCGTGTAACAAATGGGATCCTAACCTATTATGGCGAACGGCCTCCCCAGGGGACACCAAATACCAAAAAGAAATAATCAAACCATGAATTGTTGTCTGGATATCAGTGAAACGCAATTTCAATTGGTAAAAAATAGTATTAATTTAAAGAGAAAGTTATCGAAAATATTTACAGGCAAATGCTCCACGTCCAATAACAAACTTACCCAATTACAAGTAGCTTTATACCGAAGTTCTGGTTGCTATACCTGTCACACCTGAAAAAGAAAAAACAGAATGTTATAATTCCTCTGGATGGTAGATAACAACATACACGCCTGAAGGGCAGTTGGGACAGGATAGAAGTTACGAAAATAACTTCTTGAATAGCACTAAAAGTTGAAATAATCTGATAGATAAACTTTTAAGAAAAAATAAGATACTAAACTAGAAAATTAGGTAGCTTTTTAGACACATCCAGTGTCTGATCCATAAAACCTCTGTTGATCTGAATTCTCTGTAAATACCAACCCAAAGGTTCTTAGGTGTTGAAGGTGGTCTCTTGTGCCGTATCCAGAGCGAAAGCAATTAGCAAGCTGATAAATGTTGCTAGATTGAGAGACAGCAAATGATCCAGAAAACTTCGAAGACCTGGAAACAATTTGAGAAGCTCTCTTTGTTCAGCAGTGGATGCTGTGTGATTATGATATCAAGCTAAACTGGACACACTGATCCTCTAGAAGCATATATCAACTGCTCATAGCTGGTTGCCTGGTTGCCAACTTATACTTGGTCCAAGTTCTCATCCCAGTGCACTTAAACCGTGTCAACCTAGCTTTATTGATATGTTTACAATTTCATTAGAAAAATTAAGGGTTTTTCATTCAAGAATTGATTAAAGGGTAATAAATAGTTGTTGTTACTTACGTAATTTAATCATTTGTACACTAATCAATTGGAAAATGTGGTCAAGAATAATATAACTCGCTAAAACAATCAGCTAAAACTCAAAATACTTTAATTTTTTAAAAAGAACATTGTTCCACGAGGGTAAATAGTCGACTGCCGAATGATGATGTTTTTAAGTCATATAAAGATAAGAAAATAAGAAAGGTACAAGTTTACATTACCCTGGTCCCTTTTTTATGCACATCAATTTTATTTACATTCTTCAGTGATAGTGATGATTCATCTATTATATAGGTACTTACAAAGTTTGTAATATTTGGTAATAGGTACCTACTTATAACTTCGAGGTATAATAATATTGAAATGAATAAATCCTTCCATTTGCTTACTTGTTAAAATGAACATTTTTCCCATTACTCATTGCCCATTATTGAAAAGAGGAAATTTGTTATGAATTGGATATATGCAGGTAGTTTCAAATTGAAATTATTTATTAACGGACCAGCCAGTATCATTAACAACAATATAAATTTCTGAACAATAATTAAATATCTTGAATTACCTGATAATTGAACAATAAATTTACTACCTAAAATCACATCTACTACTAAAAGCCCTGTTGTATTTTGATTTTCAACCCCTTCAAGCATAAATTTAAAAAATCTACCTCTATTGGCAGTTGATTGGCATCCCTGCAAATTCTTGATATAGGACTAAAATAGCCATAATTTGTCCTGTGATATAATATATTGAACATTCCATTCTGTCGTGTATTTCTTGCAGGTACATGAATATTTATACATATAATCTTAAAAAGGAGGACAATCAATTAAATTATTTACAAAAACATATACAAAAAGCATATGCCAAGATTTCTCCTGCGGATTTCTAATGTAGGAAGGTGTAATAACACAGATAGTTCATTGAAGTTAATATTTTCAACAGGGATTCTTAACCTATAGCCTATATGTCTTAGAAAACGTCTCTGAACCCTTTCCAGCATATTCACATACAATTGGTAGTTTGGGGACCAGACAGAACAAGCACATTCTAACTACGGAACAATAGACAGTTTTCAATGCATAAATATTGCTAAAGTCTTTCAAAGTGCGAACTACAAAGCCAAGTAGTTTTAAGGCTCTATTGCAAATATTTTCAATATGGAGATTGAAAGTGAGATCCTGATTGAAAGTTACTCCTAAGTCTTTCAAAGATTTTACTCTCTCTAGTTCCTGTCCAAGCAATACATATGGGTATATTATGACTATATGACATTTGAAAAAGGATATAACCTTGCATTTTTTAACATTCAAGTCTAAGTCATTTATTCTACACCATAAAGCAAAGCAATTAAGATTTGCTTGTAGCTGTCTCGAGTCCTCCAAAGTTGAAATCATTTTATACAATTTTAAGTCATCTGCGTATATCAATACACTACTGTGAAGAATGAAGTCTAAGACATGATTTATGTAGCAATTGAACAATATTGGTGACAAATGTCCCCCTTGTGGTACTCCAGATAAAACATGAATTTTCGAGGAAACGAAATTTTTTATTTTTACAATCTTCCACACCCTTCCCATTAAAAAACTTTCTAACCACAACAATAAACTTCCAGTCACCCCCAACGCCTTCAATTTTTTTACAAGAGTGGAGATATTGATCCTGTCGTATGCTTTACTAAAGTCTGTGCTGGCTGAGTCAACCTGACTATCGCTTTCCACAGCTTCTACCAAATCCTGCTGATATTTTACCAAATTTGTTACTGTGGACCTTCCCTTCACCAACCTTCACAAATCCATGTTGGGCAACTGAAAGAATATTCCTAAAGTGAGAGGTCATTCTATATGATACCAAACAGTCAAAGATTTTTGGTAAAAGTGATGTTTTACTGATAGGCCTATTATTAGATACATCAGCTCGATCCCCTGACTTATATATAGGGGTTACATAGCACATTTTCCACTTAGTAGGGAAAATGCCAGCTGATAAAGATGAATTGAACAGAGAACAGATTTTTTTCACAGAGGACAAATTTTGTATTTTTCAAAAAGTAAACTGTTAAGCCATCAGGTCCACATCCCAGATTATTATTTAATTTATCCAGCTGATCAAACACTTCCATGACTGTAAAGTTACACGAGGACAATTGTTCTAGAATAAGTAAAACTAATGTTCTTTTCACAGTAATTAACATACGCAGATGCAAAGTGCTGAGCAAATAAATTCACAATCTCAGTAGGATTGTCAGTTTTTACATCACTATAGAAAAAAACATTTTGGCAACTCACATTCATCTTTCTTTGAATTCACATATCTCCTTGCTAGATGTTGAGTTACTTTCTAACTTATTAATATAATTACTATGATCTCTGCCTGTACCATTAATTTACATTCTGACCTAATTTTGGAGAAGGATTCATAATCACTTGGAGATAAACTATTTTTATATTTTTTATGAGCAATTTTCTTTTCAATTATATTAGATTTTAATTCATTACTGAACCATTTTGAGAATTTCAAGTTTTTTGCCCTTCTCCTTGGTACAAATATTTCAATTGCAGTATCAACAATATCGTAAAATTTGTCAACAGCAGTATCAATATTTTGCTTCTCAAATAAGAAATCCCAACTAGAAGCTAGATACATATTAATATCTGTGAAGTTAGCAAGGTTGAAATTGTAGTATTTATAGTCATACTTGAGTTTCTGAGACAAGTTGTCAGTTACCAATTCAAAATACAAAGCTGGATGATGAGAATCACATTTCAAAATAGGATATTGCACAGCATACACATCAGGTGTAACATTACAAAAAATTAAATCTAAATAGGTGCCTATTTCTAGCATTAGGAATTGTATTAATTTGGTTTGAATTGAAAAATGCCATACAATGAGACAAACAGGCTGTTCCCCCAGTGAGGACTCCAAGAGAACTGGCACCATATTCATCATTTGACCAGAATGTATCGGAGAGGTTAAAGTCACCACACACTAGAATATCACAAATATTGACTGACATCGATTCCTGTAGGATCACCGACACCGCTTCTGTAAACGCTTCATATACTTCCATTTAAGAGGCAGGTGGAATGTATGCATTGCCAACAAGTAGCTTTTTAGATCCTAGACTTATAGAAACAAACACATGTTCCACGTTGGTGACATGTGACCTTATTTGCATTACTGGGAATTTCTTTTTCACCGCTATTAGTGTACCCCCGCCTCTAGTATGTGAACTGGTAGATTTGGATCGATCACACCTAAAAATTGTATAGTTTTCTAGACCAGGCTCACCATCACCAATAGACTCGTCCAAAAACATTTCTGTGAAAAGGAGAATGTCATAGTTCTCTCAATTTCTGTGGAACACATTAATAAGCTTAATTTGGTTCTTAAACCCCGTACATTCTGGTAATAGACACCTATAGTCGATTCTGGACACGGTTTTGGGGATTGTTTTGGAACTTTCTGTTTCTTGGGAAAAAATGTCTGTTGTGGAATGATCTAGAGGTTCCTGATTTGAGGAAAACAGAGGGTTTTACTGTTGTGTCTTCAGGCCACAAATCTGGTCTCAATATTGATGAATCATATGTAGGCTCTACAGAGAGTTTAAAGAAAGCTATGTGTTCTTTCCTAGAATGTAGTTTCTCCATTACCTGAGCTGGTATATTATTGGATTCCATATGAGCTTTCAGTTGATCTGCCGTGGTATTATCGGATGTAATACCACAAGAGGTTTCAGGATTACCGGATAATACTTTTAGCTGTCACGAAACGCGTTACACAGCAACACCACGACTCCGAAGGAGGAGTGGTGCTGCTGGTAACGCGTTGAGTGTCAGGTAAAAGTATTAGGTAATACTGAAACATCGAGTGGTATTCAGAAGGTTATACAACCAATTAAACTTTAATAGTTTAAAATTTGGAAAATTTTCTATAATAGAATTTGCTATAAATGCCACCAAACGCGATAATCCCAAAAGGCGTATCACTTATTAAGCCTCTCGTGTCATATGGGAATAATGTACAGTGAGTTGTATAACCGCTTAGATTCCCCACATAGAACCATGATTGCTTAGCTGCTGCTGCTAGCCACAAGCTACTCTTATTTGAGCCCTTTATGCGCTGTTCAGCACCCAACAACGTGGAAGCTTCCCGAGTTTTACTGCCATTATTGCTATTATTAGCCATGACTGCCCTGCCCTGTTGATTGCTTCACTCACTTGGGTGGATCCAATTTTGTGCTGTTCAGGAGTGGCACTTTCATTATTCTGAGTAAGAAATCTAACCAACTCCTTATTGGCGTCTTTATTGTTGTTAACTACATTATTTAACTGTGTGCCAATGAGTTCATTTTGAGAATTGAGTATATTTTTTTAGGTTAGTTGTTAATGCAACAAAGGAACCATTAGACAAATCGTCATCTGCAGGTTTTCTGGTTGCCTCATTTATCACTGGAACCCTGTCCATAGGATCTTTGTGAGACAGTTCAAGGACGCTCAATTTCTTTTCAATGCTGTTAAGAGTTTGATGCCCTTGTATTACCTCTTCTTTTTGCCACTTTCAAATGTAACGTTTCTAGAAAAAATCGTTAAAATCTCTCTAAAAATCAGTACCATCTATAAGAAATACAAAAATTTTACATTTCCAATAATTTTCCTAATTTTTGTATATGGTATAAGTTCTGATAGTGCTAGTTTCGACGTTGAACAATTTCTGCCAGAGAAAGGTGGCGGGATAAGTGAGTGAAGAAATTTTCTAGCATGGTTAAATGTGACAACAGCTAACAGCGCACCGAAATGGAAGATCGCATGAAGAAGAAACTTGCGGACGAGAGAAGAGTAAAAGAAAAATGAGAAGAAAAATACAGACGAGAGAAAGACGAACATGATCGGTTCCAGAAAAGTTTGTGAGAGCAAGAAAACAAGCGACTCAAAGAAAAGTAGAAAGAAGAAAAACAAAAATAGTAAGATATTGAAAAGATCACTGGATTATTCGAGAACATTCGACAAGAAGTAAAAACATTTAATGGCGAAACATCTTGGGCCGGGTATAAACAATGCCGCTGGACGGGATGAACAGCAGAAAGTAACAATTAGTATAATGGCATTACGGGAGAAAGCACTCACTCGAAATTTTCCACAATATTTCTGAGGTAAAACAAAGGGACTATGAAGCTGTTGCAGAAACAGTATAGAACCAGTGATATCGTTTAGTGACCAGCGTGCAAGGTCTATCGGAGATGCTGCAGGAATTTAGTAGTAAAATTGGGGGAATGGCCAGGTTAGCATATCCAGAAGCTCCAAGAGATTTTAGGCAGATATTTTTCAGTCAAATATAAAAAAAAAAACGGTGGATAGGTAAATTCTAATTCCTACAGAAACAGTGGTAGCTTATATCCGGCCTCGGCCTATCGAAATAAATACTCCATACAATAATAATTATTTATGTACTCGTCGAAGTTCCTAAACAAAGAGATATCTACCCCTGGTAGAGAGATGATGAGCTTGGGAAAAGTCACCTGTCCCCATCATGAAAGTAAACACCCTTTTTCCCCTCTGGGCGGTGGGTGGCGGCCATGCTGTCATGTCACGGGGCCGCCCTTAATGATGATTATACAAAGCACGGACGATAAATATTTTAGTATAGGTATTAATGGGGGTTGACTTTCGGCTTTCTCATAATATATTTTTTCAATATTACTATATTAATACATATATAGGTATTTATTTGCTAAAATTATTTCCAATATATTTATCATATTATCTGTTCACCTATTTGTAAATTTCGACTTGTTTCTTCATTGTTTGAGAGTTATATTGTTTTTAATTTTTAATTTAACAAATTGTAATAATTCTAGCTGTTCAACATGAAAGAGCTCCAAGAACAACACATTCAACCCTACAGCACTATCCAGTGGGTTTATCTCCAAGATTCCGTACATTACAACCAACGTCAATGTTCCCTCTACACTTTGCCACGTCTCCATTACTGGAACATTCCATTAGTCCACCAATGATGGCAGGCCAGAACAGTTACTTGCCGCAAGGGTTACTATACCCCAGCAGTATGTTGGCCGGCCAGTTTCTAAAGCCTGGATTGTTGATGGGTTCGTCTATGTTGTATCCGGAAAAAACTCTTCCTTATTTGAAAACGGAAATATCTGGCGGTGGTTTGAAAGATGACGAAGTTACAAGTTCTGAAGAAATCAGCAGTCAAGATACAATTAAAGATGTAGAAATATCTAATTCACGCCTGGAATTGCCAATTGAAGCAAAATCTTCTGCTCATATGCCACTGGACGTACCGTGTCTGTCACTTTTTGCGGAAAATATTTACGAATCGGCCGCTAAATTGTTGTTTTTGGCTATTAAATGGGCCAAAACCATACCGTCTTTTTTACAAGTAAGAATTTTTACATTTGAGGTGGTATTATGTTTATCATTTTATTTATTTAGTTATCGCACAGAGATCAAGCGATCTTGTTAGAAGAAAGTTGGAGCGAACTTTTCATTTTGACTGCTGCGCAATGGGCTCTTCCAATAGATGAAGGTAAGAATAAGAGATTGAATTGAATCCTATAACTTCAACCTGTTTCTTTCGTGATAAATAGGTACTTCGCCAATATCCTTGTGCTTTCCAAATATCCATACCCACTGTGTCTATGTTTGAAAGCAGTTATAGTTTCAATAACTTTTAAGTAGGTACTTAAGATGTCTATCTTTATTCTTAGAAGAGTCTGAATTGGGTTCGAACATCTCGATTATACTGTAGCGAAAACGCACTCGAGTACTCTATTTAATTAGTTAGATGGTAAATGGCGAGCGGTATATTGATGGTGTTTATTTCCTTGAGCTGCTACCTATAAAATTATGGAGGGGGTCTATTCGCAAAAGAGAGAAACAAACTATTGTGGTTTACTGAATTATATTTTATTATACTTTAAACCAAAAATTTAAATAAGCAAAAATCTTTCTATTCTGACAGCCACTTTTTTTTTTCCAAATCGAATTATTTCACATCCGTTCAAATTTCATTACTACGGACTAGGAAATATCCATCCAAAAAAAAAACGCCCTACTTCTTCTATTCTTAATAACTTATAAGTTTATATATTACAACACTTCCGATTCACATTCCTTTCAAAACTACCCTTCACCTATATCTATAAATTCTTAAAAATTCCTAAGTCGTTTACTGATTGCTTATGCAAAATAACTATTTAAGTCATAATCCGATTCACTGGATTAAGTCTATATGTATTACCAACTATATTTTTATAAAAACCTTACAATAATTTCTAAATAAAAATAAAAAAAAACCTAATTCAAAATTTCAGCACTTAAGGTCATCAATGGTACTTTATGAACAACAATTTTCAAACAAAATGTTTCCATATTTTTAATGATTATTTATTCTTTTACTTTTTGGTGATTCCCATCCTTCACTAAGGATCATTTTGAACAGAACAATTACTATACTCGGATTCCTAGCCAACAAACACAATTATTTAATTCTTATTAGTTCGTTTCTATAGCCTTTAAATTTCAATTGGACAATCCAATTCAAAATTCTTTAATAATTCCTACTCAAAATCGAATATTGTTAAGAGCAATACTCGAAGGCAATTAAAGTTATGCAATAAAGTTTTTACAGTCAAATCACTCAAGTTTTTATGCATTAAAGTTCCAAAGGTAATTCACTGCATACTTCATAGCCATTCATCATTTATAGTCAAAATAAAACTTGTCACTAGAGTACTTACATTTCGGGTTTAAATCACTAAACTAATCTAATTTAATTCTTTTGATTACTTAGAGCTCGCACGTAATGTTGAACGAATTTAAATGACCTTTCTTTCATAAATTTTCGTTACTTTTCAAAGATTCAACGCGTTTTCCTGAGGCAAAAGCAAGAAAATAATGTCTTCGCGAATTTTTATCCGGACTGACTCATTAGGTACCTACTGTAGATTTAACTGGACTGAACTGACTAACAACTCAACTGCTCCTCCACTTCTAAAACCGCTGTATTTATATACTATATGACAAAAAAAACGCATCACTCACCAAAAGTAAAGTTTGTTTCACCAGGGTTTGTACTTGCCACCAGCATTTGTCTTCCTTGTTTAACAAATAAAAATTGACTGAAACAAATCAATGACGTCAAAAACATTCGTCGGTTCTTAAACCAGACGTCATTCATTTTAATTTGTCAAAAAAATTGAATGTGTCATATGAATTAATCTACGACAACCCTTTTTTGTTAAGTTTCAAGGTCAAGTATGAACCCTGGTGAAACGAACTTTATATATTTTGTAACAAAGTTTCTACATATGTTAATGGTGTAAGAAATAACAATTATTGATTAAATGTTACTTTATTTCCATATGCTTTATTAAATTAAATTTTAGTGTTAATAGCCTAAGCATATGTACAGAATTTGGTCAACAAATATTTATACTTCTATGGGGTGATGCGTTTTTTTTTGTCACACAGTATATGTTTCGTTACCCCAAAAATTTCTAATTTCATCATTCAATAACCTTCCCCTTTTATTTGTTTGAAATCGAATAATTATGTCTTAATTTCCTGGTTTATCGGGGTCAACAGATTTGGTTTAAGAATGTGAGGACAACACAAAGAAAGCCGAAAAACACGTGCGGCCATAAATGGTTGAGTGTTGCTACTCTAGAGCAATTCTGTTTGAAATCACCTTTGCGAACACCCGCACTCAGTTCAACTTTTGGTAACGAATGTGTGTGTCAAGTGTCAATTGTCTTGGCCGACACATGTTTATTATTGTTCGAAAATCACAGTTGTTGTTGATGCCTATTATTGTAAAAAGGAAATAGCCGATGTTATTCTGAAATCAAAACCAACTAAAAGTATTTCTAAATTGTTTATTTGGATCAGTGTACTGAAAAATCTACATAAATCACCTATTTAATTACTTTGGCCTCGCTTTTAATAGGTTCATTGATTTGATTTAGGAGATGACATCACGCTTGGTGACTAAAATTTTGAACGTATATAGATATTTTAATTTGGGGTCAACGTTATTTGGTTTCATTTTCAATTTGTTGATACTGATTTGAAATGCAGGAAATTCAGTTTTTGATTATTGGATTACATTTGATTTTTACAGGAAAGACATTGTAAATTACGGGTCTATTTTCCCGGGTCATTACAATACCTATTCATAATCATGAGACTAACATTCACTTGCCGAGGAATAACTATAGAAAGATACTTACGTTCACTGGTTGTGGGAACCGTTTTTTATCAAATGATTAGGTAACACTCTAGTCAACCATCCAAGGACCTTTTTTTTCAGTTATACATGTAAACCCCATACTTTGTGAGTGGCTTGCTTACATCAAGTCCTACAACTTTTCCTCTGCGACTTTTCTCGGAAATGGCACGTATGCGCGCAGGCGACTCGCAAACATGTCGATCTGACGTAGCTATGTTTCCTGATACATGTAGGTAAATCTAATTTTACGAATACTATTTGATTTTTATGTCTAAATCACGGAAATCAACTTGGCCGACAAAAATAATGGCAAATTGGGGGAGTCCGATACCCCCAAAATGTCGATCTGACGTGGTTATGTTTCTTGATACATGAAAATCTAATTTCACGAATAATGTTTGATTTTTATTTCTAAATCACGGAAATCAACTTGGCCGACAAAAATAATGGCAAATTGGAGTCCGATACCCCTAAAATGTTTGCGAGTCGCCTGCGCGCATACGTGCCATTTCCGAGAAAAGTCGTAGAGGAAAAGTTGTAAGCCTTGATGTAAGCAAGCCACTCACAAAGTATGGGGTTTACATGTATAACTGAAAAAAAAGGTCCTTGGATGGTTGACTACTCTGATTACTTGTTATACGTAAGTAGAGGTAGGGTAACTACCTACTAAATAGGAACATCTTTTTCCAAATTATGTGTTCACATATAGTCGGAACCTCTGAAGTCCTCACCTAATAAGCCTGATTCAATCATTATATGATATTTGTTCAATTTTGGCTCTAAAAATGTTAACTGCAAGCTCTAAGCAAATTAAAACAACAAATATATTTTCAGTAGTTCTGCTCAACAACGCAGTAGCCCCAACAACAAGGCACCCAATCTTGGAGGACGAAGCCAGAAAACTCCGTGAAGTAATTTCCCGATTGAACATGCTCAGAGTAGATCATACCGAGCATGCTTGCTTGAAAGCTTTAGTTCTATTTAAAGCAGGTAAAAACGAATTTCCTCTCAATTTGTCTTTATTAAGTCCTCTAAATCCCACAGAATGTAGAGGCCTCTGCGAACCAACTCACGTAGAGCTACTACAAGACCAAACTCACGTGATGCTTCACGAATATTGCGCACAACGTCAAAGTCATCACAAGGCCAGATTTGGTAAGCTTTTATTGACTCTGCCAGCGATCCAGAATATTTCCAGAAGGAGTTTGGAGGAGTTGTTATTCAAACAAACAGTTGGAGATGTGGCTATTGATAAATTGCTGGGGAATTTAGCTAAGTCAACTTATGGATAAATAGTTTTGGATTTTTTAGACGTGTGTTTGGGTAGCTATTGTTCTTAGTGCTCGCTCTAATAATACGAATACTTCGGCAACCAAAATTATACATATTTTTTGTGGATAACCCTCAAACTAAGATGAAATTCTACTTTATTTGAAAGCAGAAAAATTCACATGATATCGGTAACAATAAGACTATATATTATGGTTTTCCTGTTTGTTGGGACGCTTTACTCGTTATGGTATCCGATATAAGATGAGTTAACTGCAAAAATTTTTGAATTGTAACTATATTCAAAATTTAATTTAACTTATCACTATTCATGTTCCATATTTTGTATACCAATTACTTAAATCTTAGTCGATTTTGCCTTAGTTAAGAGTGAGCGCTTGACTGTCGTGTTCTAGTCAATTTTGTTATATTATGTACCTATGTAAATTTGCCTTTATGATTTATTTATTTAAGGTTTTTATATAAATATGATTGTTAATTATTATTTAATAAATAAAATGTGATTTATAAAAACATCGAAATTTCTTTTTCCTTTTTCGCGCTCTCTTTCATAAACTTGATGTACGAGGTAATCAGGTCGTCCATTTTGTATCCTTGCGACGTTTCACACAGTAATTTAGTTTTTCTCATGACGTTCCCAATGGTTAGTTGGAAATAAGTGTTTCCTGAACCCCAATTTGCTAGTTCGGAATAGTCGTGGACGGCCAAAATATCCTGAAAGAAGTTTACATCAAATTAGCTTACATTTGATGAGTTTAAAAATAAAAATTCTTACTTTAGTTTGTGGATGAATAATATTAACACCCTTCTTGTTAATGGCTATAATAACAATTTCAGGATAAGACGGTTCTGTAGTTTGTTTAACTTCAAAGAACGTGGACCCAAACGTGGGCCAATTATAAATAGTTTTCAAGAAAGCATCTTTAGCTTCATCCACACTCAAATTAGCCGACTTATATTCAGCCAAAATCAATTTTTTCCACTCAGAAGAGTTTGTAGCTTTGATTAAATCTTGCGGAATAAATTCCTTATAGTTACTTTGCATTACACTTTGTACTTCTTGCACATCGTTACCAAATCTGGCCCTTAAAATTAGTCCGGCTAGTTTAATAGCATCTTGTTTAGTGCATTTGTGATATCCTTTAAGATATTTAGGTAGTTCTTGGTGATAGTGGAATATTTGATCGGAATATTTGCATTTTCCTGGCACGGTGTTCACCCAAAGTTTTTTCATGAAAATTACTTGGTATTGAGCTTGAATTGGAGCAGCACTTCCCCAACTAGGTTTAGTAGCTCTCATCCAGTAAATTAGTTCACTCAAAAAGTCGTAGAAAAATGATTCTTTAGGTATAGAAAATAGTTTGTCAGAAATTGCTACGAATAGACTGAAGCCATCTGTTGAAGAAATATCTAATCTCATAGCAATGTTATTGCATAAATCTGACGCTCTGGTCATAGAATCAACTTCAAATGCTTCATCAGTGTCATCGGGGAAATAGATTTTGTGGTAAATTTCCATACTTCTTGTTTGAATGGCTTCTACTTCTATGGAATACGGTGGGTACTTTCTAGGGCCCACTTTTTGAGTTTTGTGTAATCGTTGCAAACAAGTTTCGACGAAAGGATGCACTCGGGTTTTAAGGAATTTTTTTGTTTCTTCCAAAAGATTTATGCTGGGCACAAATGAACCAGTCAATAAGTACATCAATTCCCAGCCTTTTTCTTCACTAATTGACATTCTATTGAATGTTAATTGCCTCATTATTTGACAGTAGACTTCGTCCTTTAACATTTCGATTTTCAAGGGCGGTCCGAATATTTGGTCGGTGTATTCGTTTGGATATTTGGCTTTTGGAGCTGGCAAATCACCCATATATCTCAGAATAGCTGAAAATTTAATCTAAATTAATAAGCCCTGTTTATGAAAACATGAACCGATTACTTACATGTGAATATGCTACAAGCTTCTTTACTGGCCTCCTCATGTTCCATAAGTTTTTGCAATAATGGTTGATAAATGGGTTCGTTTGTGTATTTCCATAGTTCTTCTCTGTCATTTCTTCTAGCTGTCATCATTACCGAGGGTCTTCCCGATGTTTCTACTTTCTTGGCAGTTCTAAAGTGTTCTTCAGAGTATACAGATAATGTGTGCTGACGCATACGTTGTATTGATGATATTTCTGGGGCAGTTTGTTGTTTTTCTACAAGCAAAATCGATACAAATTAAGTGCTTTGATAACATAATCAAACATTCTATATTGATAGGTGAAACATTTCTGATTCGGAAGGGTAAATTCGTTAATTCTTTAGTCACCAATTATTTCATGGAGAAGTTTGAACAGATTTCTCTTCTATGTGTTTGTGGAAAAGGAAGCCCAACAGGAGTCCAGTCGCCAAAGTTTATATGCATACCAAACCATTTCGACATAATTCCAACCATCATTTACGATAAATCTATTGATCAGAACTATTATTGAAAGATTTGGAAAAAGCTCTTCTCAACACTAGCTATATCTCATAGAAAATCCAGAGCTAAGCGCTCAAGGTAAAGAAATACGACCAATGGGAAACAGAAATATTATAGGAGAAACGTCACAAAACTACATCGGAATATATTTGAGAAACTGACGAAAACTATGAAACAAAAGGCCTGAGATGCTATAATCTAGAAGTCCACTGGGAGTTACATATACTTATATTAAGTTTCACATCTTCAACATGAGATCATCAGCATCAGACTGAATATGGAACATGACGGCTAATACTAATAAAAGACAAGAATTTAGTTAGGATGTATAGGCTGAAAGTTTAAGATACATAAAACCCACAAGCCAAAAAAAAACGTAGACTACAACAAATCCCAGATTCTTCTTGGGGAGCATACCTTAATACTTGTAACAAACATTTAACTTACCATTAACAATGACAAAATCTTTTTTAAATGCCGTCAAAATATCTTGAGGTGGTACAGTCGAAGTAGGCAAAATATAAACCATTTCAGTATAGAAATCGCCAGTCTTTCCATTACATTCCCCATAGCCCCATGTAGCTGTCAGCAACGTTTCGCCTCTCGTATTATTTTTCAGGACAATTAAATCACCCTTTTTGAACGCGAGGAAAGATTCGCCCGTTTCCGGTTTGTAATCTTGCGTAGCCACGCAATAAATTGAACGTTTTCTGAGCCCGTCAATGATGAATTGGATTAGAGAGCTCAGACTTTTAGCATCGGGCGTATGGAATACGTATTCTTCTTTTGCCACAGTGGTGAACATAAGTTTCGGGATGTTGTTTGTGTGTTCGAAAGTGATGAATTGTATGTCGGCAAAACTGAATTCTAGTAAAATTTGTTCTTGTTCGTCTATCAGGTAAATACCGGTCCAATTTACTGCTACGATGACTTTTTTCTTGGGTAGTGGAGGTCCGGAGAGTTGTTGGGCTTCGTAGAATTTGGAGAAGAGGATTGGCCAAGTGGATTTACTAGAAATAATGAATTTGCTGAATATTCTGCAACTCTTAATTCCTTAGAATTCGTTTTCCGGGGCATTGGGTTAGTTTGATTTGATGAATAAATTAACCTGTACCTGTAAATAACAATAAATTCTTTGGCTTTCGCTGCTGGCATCTTTCGTTTGACGCAGACAAGCATTTGGAAGGCTTCCGCAATTTTAAGTTCCCATTCGGCCAAGTTACCTTGAGCGTACTTTACAATGGACAATGGCAGGAATTCTCCAATTCTGCTATGTAAGACCTATTATTGAACAAAAATCAAGTTAAAAAACACTCACAATATTTCAAAACTAAGTTATTCACCTTGGGATTCAGTGTAGATCCTTCTTCAATGTAGAATCTAGTTGCTATTAATGTTGCTACATCCCCTTCTTGTGGGCAACGGTACTCGCCGCCTTTAAGACCCTTGAATACCTAAATATAAAATATCATAGAAAACTTGGATGAATAACTTGTTAACCAAAATATGCAACTTATGAATAATGATAATTGTTCGTACCTGTTTATATATCAAATCAGTAGCTACTGGGTCATAACTAGGATCATGCCAAGGAGAAAACATTTCCTTTCTCAAAAATATCCTCCATGGACTATTTTTCTCATCGTGACCAAGTTCTTTGGAATATTGCTCGCATTGTGAAATGGCATCCAAAACGTGGTCACCCTCACTTCCAAGAGACATCACCTTTGAAATGCTCAGTAAATAATATTTGCTAGAAATTTCACGAAAACAAATTGCTTACCTTATCATAGAGGCTAATGAACAAAGAAAATCCAAAAGTATCTTTGAGGCTCAAACTTTTCGAAATCAACCCAATTACTTCTTCGGCTGTCGTTGCCGAATCAATTTCAACTTCTTGTACTGAATCATTTTGTAGACCTATTTTAAGCGGAACAGGTTGCTTGTTCTAAAAACTAAATGTTGCCACATATAATTTAATCAAATGTAGAACAAACCTTATTTGCAATAAGTTCCAAATACGACGGCGGTTGTGTCCTGTTACCGTTTTTCATCGTACGATTCAATCTGGCTTCGGTAAATGGTGCATATCCTGGCGGTCCGCTCCTGATAAAGGCTCTTAAGTAAGGCAAAAACCGTTCGCTTGGTAAGAAACATCCTACGCATAGAGACAAGAGGATCCAGCCTCGCGCGTATGATGCTTTGCTGTTGTTGTTTGATAGTTGTTTGCAGACGATACACAGGATTTCATCCCTGAAAGGTATTAGATGAAGGTTAAGATGAGATGGAAATAATAAACATAGAAAGCTTCTTCGACTTAGGCAATAATTTAATTTTTATCCGATCTGAATTGAAACTGTATAAATACGTAGGTACCTACTGAACCAGATGTGTGTATACATTGGATTTATTTGGTAGTTCTATACAGGTTGGTCTCACTCAACCATGGTTTTGTATTACTTTCGTTGTTAATTAGTACTGCCTTAACCGTCGAAGAGTTGTAACAATCCAATCTTCTATTGTTATTGGAAGACGTCTATTCTCATATTTATCTATGACAATTTTACCTTTTCTTGCAATGAATGTGTAATGACCCGGGAAAATAGACCCGTAATTTACAATGTCTTTACTGTAAAAATTGAATATAATCAAATAATCAAAAACTGAATTTCCGGTATTTCAAATCAGTATCAATAAATTGAAAATGGAACAAATTAACGTTGACCCCAAATTAATTAAAATATTTATATAGGTACCTACGTTCAAATTTTAAACAAGCCATCAGTGACCAAGCACGTGTTATCATTTGAACTCATAAATAAATACCCGGAAAAGATAAAATACAAGGTTAAGCACCTAATTAAATTGGACCCAAAATGACAAAAATTTCGAACAGATTGCATCATCATCTAAATGATGAAATTAATTTTTGGAATAATATCTAGGTCGACCAATAGAACTGAATTACAGATGGTCAAACGACCGCCCATTGTCAATTTTGGTGGGTAATTAATAATATTTTGTGGGGAATCGAAAAATATAAATACAGGGATTTTAGAAGATCAGTGGTTTGTTTTCAGCCTGCAGTCCAGTTTTGAGTTAAAAGTCTACAGTACCTAATGAGTCAGTCCAGATAAAATTCGCGAAGAGTTTATTTTATTTTGTTGCCTCGGGAAAACGCGTTTAATGTATCTTTGAAAAAGTAACGGAAAATTGAGAAAAAAAAAGAACATTTAACTTCACTTAACATTATGTGCGAGTTCTAAGTAATCAAAAGAATTAAATTAGAATAGTTCAGTGTTTTAAGGACGATATGTAAGTACTCTATTGATAAATTTTATTTTTGACTTTAACAATGATCCGGAATGATAAGAAGTGAATTGACATTGAACTTTAATGCATAAAAACTTGAGTGATTTGACTGTAAAAACTTATTGCATAACTTTAATAAAATTGCCTTCGGGTATAATGACATTTTAATTAATTTTGCAAAGAATTTAAGAGGGAAAATTATAATGCTCTTAATTATTAAAGAATTTTGAATTGGATTGTCCAATTGAAGTTTAAGGGCTATAGTAATTAACAAATAAGAATTTAAATAATTGTGTATGTTGGCTAGGAATTCGAAAATAGTAATTGTTCTGTTTAAATTGATCCTAAGTAAAAGAATAAACCATTAAATGTAATGGGAAGTTTTGAAAAGAAGCTTGTTGTTCATGAAATGAGATTGTTGAATATGTAATAAATTTAAAATGTTAATTATTATGTATTGTAACAAAGATGGTACGACGATATAAAGAGGGTTGCAAGCTTGAATTGGTACCGAGTTGCGCAAAACCGAAGACAATGGTCAAATTTGAAAGAGGCCTATATCCTAAGGTAGAAAACGGCTGAGAATGGAAAATGGATAGGTAGCGTACCTACTTACTCTTACTACAGTAATGATTATTGTTACGAAACACGTAGTACCCAAAATTACTGATGAAAGAAGCCCTTACATACTATATTTATAATTAAAAAAAAGATATTTATTTCAATGTAAAGCGTTAGTTAATTAACCGTGACTTAATTTCATGGATCATACCTTAATTCTGGTCTCAAAATTCCATGCCCAATAATAAAGTGCAATTTCTCCAAATTATTAGTCCTCCTATTATTTATCCAATCATTGTAGCTGTTGATAGCAAAAGTGTCTTCCACTAAACCGCGTTTGACGTCGTCCAAAAGCTGAGTTTTCCTTCTAAGGGTCGCATTAGTCATCTTTTGCCTTTCAACTTTTTTCATCGTGCTCTTTTGTTTCTTTTCGTCTTGCATCATTTGTTGGTATTCTTTTCTATTTGTGAATGCTCTGCTTATTGTTTGGTTTAGTTCGATCATGACCGGAGGAGGAGCGACTTCTTTGCTACCTAAAATGAAGAAAAGCGAAATTAATGCACATTGATTTTCTGAATATTTAAGTTGCAAATTCATTTACTTAAATAATCATCCAGTGTCATCTACAACATAATACATTTACAAGACTTGAGAGAATTTAATGACCCGGGAAAAATAGACCCGTAATTTACAATGTCTTAACAGTAAAAATTAAATGTAATCAAATAATCAAAAAATGAATCTCCAATATTTCAAATCATTATCAATTAAACTGGAAAATGATGAGACAAATTAGCGTTGACCCCAAATTATTTAAAATATTTATATACGTTAAAATTTCATAAATCAAATCCATAAAAATAATAAAATCAAGGTAAAAGTAATTAAATTGGTGATTTACGGCCGACACGAGTTTTTCGGCATCCTTTGAGTTATTCGTCCTCATATTCTCACAACAAAACTGTTGACCCCGATAATCCGGGAAATTGAGACATAATTATTCGGTTTTAAACAGATAAATATATTTCTTAGAAAAAAGAACGGTCAATGAATAGACATGACCCGGAATATTTTTGGGGGAATGAAAAATATAAAAACAGCGGTTTCGGAATTTTGGAATCAGTTCAGTTTAAGTCCAGTTGAATTTTCAGTTCAGTCTTGATTTTGTTGCCTCGAGAAAATGCGTTAAATCGAATCTTTGAAAAAGTAACGGAAAATTGTGAAAGAAAACACATTTAAATTCGTTCAACATTATGTGCGAGCTCTAAATAATCAAAAGAAATTAGAATAATTAAGTGACTTCAAGGGCGGTAATTTAAATGTAAGTACTCTAGTGACAAGTTTTATTTTTGACTTTATCAATGTTGAAATGACTATGAAGTGAATTGATTATGGAACTTTATTGCATAACTATTATTATCTACTAGAGTGAATTGACTTTGAATATTTTTGTGCTTAATATAGGTAGACAAATTTAATTCAAATGACTGTTAATTGAAATGAACTTTTCTGATTAATTTAGATAATCGAATTGTACAAAATTTGGCAGTAAGCGAATTCAGGGATTTTATACGCTTATAGAACAGGAAGTTATAAAAATTAAACTAAATTATAAATTATTGTTTTGAGGTGTAAAAGGTGTTTAAGATTGCAAAATATTATACCTAACGTAGTAGGGCTATATAAAAATGTTATTAAAGTACGAGGCTTTTTGATTGCATCATTTGATTTACAAGCTCAGATACAGTGTAAAGGTGGCTATACGTTTGCATCAATTTAGTCTATTTTTGTATTGAAAGGTGTTGGATTAAGGGTTTAGATAATTTGTATACCATTGCTATAAGAAATGAAAATCTGTTTATTTCTTATTAATAAAGTATAATTATTAACGGAGAACTATAAATTAGTTGTTTCTTGCAATTGCAAATAGACCCGTCCCCACAATTTCATTTTACAGTAGCTGCCCAAGGAAAGAATTACCATCAAGTTGACATTGAAATTAAAAATCCAAGGGGGAGGAATTTAGGTGAATGTATCGAAATCACGTGAATTGAATCACGTGACACAAAGCTATGCTTTCTTTAATGCCTTCCCCTGTATGTTATGACATTTCTGGATTTGTTGGAAAATTGTAGACATATTTCATGCACAATGTCATATACCTATCTTCAACTGTTTCGGAAATATTAACAGTTGAAAGTTGACTTTTTTGCATCCTTGACAGACTGTGAATCCTTAACGCTTAATTTTAGAGGAAAACGGATTTCACATTCCTATCCTAGATTTTCATAAGCCATCATTTGACACCAGCTCTGAATTTAATCGGAGATTAATAATTCAGGCAGAATTTTTAATCAAAAAACTAAGATAGGAATGTAAAATCCGTTTTCCTGTGAAATTAACCGTTCAGGTTTTACAGTCTGTCAAAGATGCAAAAAAAGCAGTTTTCAACTGTCAATATTTCCGAAACACTTGAAAATAGGTATATGAGATTGTACATGAAATATGTCTAGAATTTTCCGCAGAATCCAGAGATGTCATAATATACAGGGGGAGTCATTTAAAAAAACATACCTTTGTGTCACTACTAGTTATTGGGCCACCCTGTATACTGGAAAATAATTTAGGAATGTAGTACTTATGTTTATCTACAAGTTTGTAATTCAGTTTTTTCTTCGATCTCCCTAAGTATAGGAGATATGGACGACCGCGCGCTTAATAACTCAGAAATTTGAAACATTAGCACAGATTACTTACATACAGATGCGAAAGAGCTGCGAATTCGTGGTTCAAGATTAATTTGAAAGACATAGGCTGGCCGCACCAATGCCACATCAATGTATTTTGAACATATTTATTATATAAATGCGGAAGCTCAATAATATAATATTATTTCTTTAATTGGTTCACAAACAGCAAAAAAATATTTTTTTCTACCCGCAAAAATATGTAAACACACAGGCTGGAACATGCTCACGCACTCGGCCACGTTAATTGTCCTGACGCGGGCGATCTGTATCTATGCGTCAAGGCGCTGGCTCCCCGGCTTCGTCACAGAATATCGTCGACGGCAAGTATACGTACTTTTGCATCTGTATTAGGTGATCTGTGACATTAGTATATAACCATTATGGCAATGACTACCTATAATGTAAAGTGAAATTGACTGTGAAACCAAATATTTCCAAGGTCGACAGTTATCGATTGTCGAATCGATTTGAGTCTATTCTGTGAGACCCGGATGGGCCTATATATAATGCCGGCCTCAAAAGTATAAGTTAACATTCGCCCATGGAAGCTTATGGGATTATGATCAAAATATGTTTACATCATAAGTTCTTACCTCTAGGATCTGCCATGTCACCCATAAACCTCAAAACAACAACCCATAAGGCTTGAGCAGCCAAAACATCATCAGGTGTAGGTAACTCGTGTAAAGATCCACCACGTGGTGGTTTTTTAGCGTGTTGATGTCCAGTGCCGTGCACAAAGTAAGTGGCAGCATATTTATGGAACGTATATTCCGATAAGTCTTCTGTAGATTTTATAGACTCGCTGTTAAGCTGATCAGCTAATGTAGGAATGTTTCTTTCGGGAGTTTGCGGATCCAATCCGGAGGCATCCAAGAAGGCGAAATCTTTCTCCACTTGATCTACGTCTTTGGCAATTTCTTCTTCTTGTTTTTTCAACCAAGCAGCATAATCAGCGCTGGCTTCCGCCAATCGTTGTTGCATAAGCTTTCCGGCTTCCTGCGGAGCATTCTTTTTGCCTTGTTTTCTGAAGTTGGACTCGTCGATGCGTTTTTGGCGTATTATGGAGTAGATGCGACCAAACTGGCCGTTGGTTCTGGATAAACGACCGCGACAATGGGTTTGCAAACCGATGATTTTTTGTCGTAGATTTTTGTAGGAGAATGTCAGTTGACGAGAAAGGATTTTGGACTAAAAAGAAAAGGTTTCATGTTATTTTTGGTTGAATAGTCAGCCGATTAAAAAATTTATCAGAAAAAGCTTAAAAACTGTTACTCAAATAATCATATTTTAGTGGAACAAAATGTGTAAAGAAATTATCCAGTTTTTTACTTCATAATCCCTTTAGCCAAATTAGGAGCAACCAAGCAAAGGTTTTCAAGTGTGTAGAACCTTTAATAACAATAATATAATAATAATAATAATAATAATAATAATAATAATAATAATAATAATAATAATAATAATAATAATAATAATAATAATAATAATAATAATAATAATAATAATAATAATAATAATAATAATAATAATAATAATAATAATAATAATAATAATAATAATAATAATAATAATAATAATAATAATAATAATAATAATAATAATAATAATAATAATAATAATAATAATAATAATAATAAAACATCGAGTGAAAAACACCAAAGATCTGAACAGGACAGTAGAAAAGCTAAAACAGTTTATAACAGCGAAATCTTGTAGAGTGAAAAGGTACGAGACAAGATATAAGCAGTATCAGCAAAACAAGCTTTTTGCAGAAAATCCAGGAAAATTTTATAACAAACAACAAAAATCTAGCTTCCTATGAAAGATGCCGGAAGAACGGGAACTGGAAGAGTAGTGGAAGAACATCTGGGGAAAAGGCGTGATGCTCAACACTGAAGCAAAATGGATATAGGACCAATATAAAAATAATGAAAATATCAACGAATTGGAGTGGGAAGACATCGCTGAAGAAGAACTACAGAAAACACTGGAAAGCACATCTAATTGGAAAGCACCAGAAATCGACTGTATACCCAACTTTTGGATAATTTGCAGTTCATTAAAGCTTACTGTCAGAATATAATGCGCTTCTAAACGATGGACTGGCTGATCCAAAATAGCTCACCAAAGGGAAGACGTTTCTCATACCCAAAAACGATAAAACTGAATATGCCTATCGACCTATAACATGCCTCAACACAAATTACTTATATGGGCATTATGTCAACCCGCCTGCACTTGCAGAATAAAGAGGGTGCAGAGAGAACTGTTACGGATGTAAAGATAACCTTTTGGTAAGCAAAATGATAATTAAGGACTGTAAAGAAGGAAGAAAGACTTTGTCTGCTGGATCGACTACCTCAAAGCTTTTGATAGCATTCCAGTTGGCTCATTGAGTCTCTGAAGATGTATAAAGCCCCCAGTAAGATGATTAATTTCCTCAAAAATTCAATGAAACACTGGAACACCGACCTGAACCTGATATCGTCTTCAACCACGATTGGCATAAAAGATATACATACCAATAAAAAAGGGAATTCTTCAAGGAGATGCCCTATCGTCCCTAATCTTCTGCCTAACGTTATTCTCTTTAAGCTCCCTACTCAAAAACTCTGAAACAGGCTATAAGTGTAAGAAGGTAACGGAAAAAATCAATCATCTTTTCTAGAGTGAAGATAGACTGTGTGTTTTACTCCAGTTCTTTAACTATTCTCTTCACTGTGAGACATGGGCTACTATTTCAAAATAACACAAGGTTGAATGAGGTTGGTATATTTACCTGGAATCGTTGGTAACCATTTCTCATCTTCAAAAATCTGCTTCTATACCCTCTAGCTCTAAAATGTTTCTGGAACACAATGGCCGCTGCTTTTAATTTCAAGTATCTCCTTCTATATATCCAACCTTTGATTGCTTTTTGGAGAATAATAATATACCTATATGAGTAATAAAAATATATTATTTATAAATAAAACATTCACTAATAACAAATTGTTACCTACCTAGCTAATATTACCGATCTCATTTCTTCCAATTTCTCGTTGTCGACGTGCTTCAAAAACAATTTCGTGTGTCCCATTTGGTAGTCTTCGTTATTTTTGAAAACTTCATTGCAAATTTTTTGGGTAGATTGTTTGCAGTCCCCCTTACTAGATGGCGGTATTGCTTTGCCCAAATATCTGAATCTGTCAACGAACTCTGGATATGAATATCTTATTGGATATCCGGATTGCCTTATTTTAGCTGTTTCCATCATGCCTGAATATCTTAATTGTCTGCAGCATAATGCTTTATCGAATATCTGAAATGTTTTTTTTTTTTTTGTAAAACTAGCTTAGGTGGGTGAAAATAAATTCTTACTTGTGGCTTTTTGACTTCATTAGGCTTCAAACATCTTACAAAAAACGGATGACAAGACTCTAAAGTTTTCATCAAAAGCTCTAAAGAAATCTTAAATTGTGAGGACAAAGTCACCATTTTCTTTCCATTACTTTCGCTATTCAAATCTTCTCTAAACATTTCTTTAAGCAAATCATTTTGCGTTGTTTTCACAAGATTTTTCAAATCCTGACTAAAAGTGTCACGGTTTTTATCTAGAAATCCTGGCACGTCGTAAAATACTGCTCCAGCAAAATGTTGTATGCCAAAACTTGGAGTCATATCTGATTTAGGCTTAAGGTAGTATTTTTTGGTGCCATGTTGTTGATGTAATTTTGTTACCATAGAAAAATCTGTGCCTTTTGGAAATTTAGTTTCTTCATCTATCAAAGATAAGACGTTCATGGGCTTCAAGCCTATCATATCCAAAGCCTCTTGGTTATCAATAAATTCAATATTTGACCAATTAATGCCTTCGTTTGTGTAATATTGCTGTTCTAGTTTAAAAATATGTTGTACAAAAAACTGCTGTAAATTTTCATTGGCGTAGTTTATACACAATTGCTCAAAACTGTTCACTTTGAAGTTTTCAAAACCAAAAATATCCAGAACGCCAATGGATTTTTTATGTGGTATTTTCGGTTTGTAAATTGCTTCGTTTATTTTACTGACTATTTTTATAAACATTTTACCATAAATGCCTTTGGAAAATGCATTTCTCGACTCCGAGGCTTGATCTTTGGACATTGGCGATATAATAGTGTCCCCGTGAGCGTAGATAGTTCTTTTAGTCAAAGCCTCAGCCAAATCTTGCTTAGCGACCCCTAGTAATTTGGATATTCTTTCGTTTAGGCCTGCATCGGCTACGTCAGAGCTTTCTGAGTGCGAGGAGGAACCTGATTTGAATTTGAGGTTGCCCAAATGTAAAATTGCAGCCAAAAGGGTAAAAATGTCGTTGGTTTCTTTGTCGGAAAAATTTAGGACTTTGAGAGCGCCGGAGATGTCTGAAAACTCTTTGGATTCGTTTCTGTCGTTACATATTAGAGTTTTGCCACCTAGAATTAGTTTGTTTGATTTAGTTAGAATCAGTTAAGCCAATGGCATCATTGAAAATGTATTAAGACATGTCGGTTAAGCTTGAATGTATTTGGTCTGCTCAAGACAACCTTTAAAAATATGGTTCGCCATGCCTATAAAATTACAAGCGAAGTAATTTTAACATTACGAAAAATTGAAATGAGTTGATGATGATTAGGAAAATGCCTGTGTGCCCTACCAAAAAGATCTTTTTGCCCAGCATCTCTGTAACCTGGCTTGACCAATACCAATGAAGGATTTCTCCATTCTTCTTACCTATCAAATATTGATACGATTCTGCACTATCCAATCCAAATCTCTTTTTATCTTCCCTGGGCAAACCTGCCAACATACTATAAAATATATGATAATTCCTTTCGCCCTCATTCTGAGACACGATTCGACTTTTTTCTAATAAATACTGTTGTATTCTGGCTCCCTCAATCGCTCCATTTACATTGAAATCCACATTGATATATTTTCCAAATCTGGATGAGTTGTCGTTGCGTACGGTTTTAGCGTTGCCGAAAGCTTCCAGAATAGGATTAGCTTCCAAAATTTGCTGTTCTACCCAGGAATGTTGGCCGCTGGTCGATGCTAGATATTGTAGAAGTAGTTTTGTGCTCTCAGTTTTTCCTGCACCTGATTCACCACTAGAAACCCATCGAATTATTATTTTTTTTGTAAAAATTATGATTAAAGGATAATTATAACGAAAGCAAATGAATCATTTTGGGAGTTTTTTGGAATATGAAGGGAGTTCCTTGGACAAAAATTACAGTAGAAGTATAAGCATGCCTACAAGGTAAGCTCAAGAGTGATAAGTTTGGGAAGAGTTATTCTAACATTCCCAGTACACCTACATCAGATATCAACTTTTATTTTCCGATGATTTAAGCACTAAACACATGGATCAGCTTATTGAAGATACTACCGAGGATATTACTTACCTGATTACTATACACTGATCTTTTCTGGTTTTCTTCATGTCATTATAACTGTTATCACCTACAGCAAATATGTGAGGAGGTAATTCATCAAAACGTTTATCCTTGTACTCGTTTATAAGAGCATTTGTATAAATTGGTAAAAATTCGTATGGGTTTACTGCTACCAACATGGTTCCTGTGTATGTCTAAAAATAAAATGACATTTCTGCGAGTTTTTTGAAAAATTATGGCTCATCATGAAGTAGAATAAATTCTTTTTTTTCAGGTAAAATGGGATATATACTATTCCGCAATCCTGTAAGCTATCTTTGACATAATTCTATTATTGATTCAATTGTAGGTATGTAAGTACCTATCTATACATTTTAACAGTGTTAAATTTTGGGTAGATACTTGACTACAATATACCTACTTACATAAATCATCTTTTCCTTATATCTCTTATGCAAATTCCTCAGTATAGCGTACTCCTGTAAATCCCCCAAATTAATCATATCGTCCACCCCCTTTTCGGAGGTGACGTGCATAAGTTTGAGCACTTGTTGCTTGGACACATATTGTTGCGTTCCATCGTCATCCAACAGTTTAATTCTGCTCGATTCTATGGTGGTTACTTTACCACCGATTGGTATATCGAATTCGCCATTGGTTACTTGCTTTACCCAAACGTAATCTCCCTATGGAATAATAATTTGTAGTTTGTAGTTGCAGCCAAATAAATTGAAAATTATTTCACAAGGTTATTCAACATTTATTGAAAAATGTGAACTCATGAAAGGAGAAACTGAGGATTAGAGCGAAATTGTAGATGGCAGGAGAGAAGAAACGATTGAAATTTGCTTTTATGTTAATCTCTTCTTCTTCAGTCATGATTCAGGTGAGTAATACTTTCTCAAGATAGACCAAATCTAGATCAGGAAAGAGTTGAAAAATGAAAAGGCAGTAAGCATATAAGTAAGGCAGGCTCTAAAATAATTTTAAATCATGCGATGTTGCGGGATCAAAATACTGGAGTTAATCCACAGGCAGGGTAAATTAATCACTTGAAACGTAAGTGTACTTACCACTATCAAGCCAGGTTTGGCCATTCTTACTCCCTTATTCCTCCCAGGATATCTGCCCAAAAATTTCGCTTACAAAAAATGAAATCCTACTCTAATTCGAATGACGCGGTATCACCTAATAAGGGCGAGACGAGTCATCATCTAAATTAACAATAATATTTTAGCAATAAATAATTGGAGGTGCCGATGCCTTTATCATCAGTTGTTATCGAACAGATAAGGTTTTTTTTTTTGTTGCTTTTTTAATAATTATTGTATTGTGTTTCAAGTATCAAAATACCATATTCCATATTCCTTACAGTAAAGAAATAATTTTTATTACATATTCTAGGATTAAAATCATTAGATTTATTTATTTTAACGTGGAATCTGGTATTCTTATTTTCAATAATCTTATCAAATTTATTTATAATATAACTAGATTATTTGATCATGCGATACAGTCATAATTTTCTTGGTATTTGTATTTTGGAGGCTTTTTGAAGTGAAAATTGTTTGTATCTAATCAGATATATTATACGATTCATAGATTTTAAGTTCCTTATTATTGCATATATTTCTAAAGTTCTTATTTAGAATCAAACATTAGGTTTAGGTAGGTAGGTACCTATACATTTTCCGGAATATGTTTAACTGCAGGGTATGCTACCTCTATTATTCCCATTCACAGAATTTGTTCATCCTACTGATAAAGTATCAGAAAATTGATAATTTGGGTCTTAAATATCGGTATTTTGCATATCTTTTGATCTAGAAAACTATTTGATAAACTATTTTTGTTATCAGCACTTTAGGAATTATGAATTCTATAGTTGTAAGTGGTTTGGTTTTTGATAATGATTATCTTTTTGGACCATAATTTTTCATAAAAAAATACTTAGGTAGGTACACTGATACTGTACCGGCCTGCAAATATTCACAATTATAATAGTATATTACATACCGAGTAGGGAAGTGTTTCATTACTGTCGACAGATTTATATATCGAGACGCGAAGCGTCGAGATTGACTATTAATCTCGAGACCTGACATGTTCTCATTGTTTTTACCTGACATGTTCTCATTGTAGCCAGCAAAGGTAAATAAATTAGAGTGAGGGAAATCGGTGAGGGAAGTCGAATACGGAAATCGGTGACGGAAATTGAAGAGGGAAGTGACACAGGTAAAGTGACACTTCCAAATTTTCAAAAAGTCAGTAATGTCAAGATTACATACATGGTTGCAAATAAAAATATTTCTCCTTATTGTAGTATAATATACCCGGGTTCGTTCAGTAAGATTGAACGATGAGAATTTTTATTACCTTTTAAACAACAAATCTTCTGAAAAATAAAATGAAAAACAAATAGGACCTATATACGTTGTGGAAACTTACTCAATTTTACTTACTGGACATGCGCCCGACATAGCAAATATTTGGGAAATTTAAGGGAAATTGTGATATGTAAAAGAAACGAAAAATTTGTGAAACGTCTATTTTATTATTGAAGTAAATCGTACCGTTCTCATCCTGGAACTAGCGAGGGGAAAGAGCACGGCAGAGAAACCCTCGATCTATAATTCCTCAAAAATCGAAACATACTGTGTGATTTTGATAATAATTGTGAGTCATTAATTCGATAAAAGTTGAAACTAGGTACCGCCCCTGTTCTTGTGCTAGAATTTCAATTACACACACTACATTCGATCAACACTACATATATTCAATACTGAAGAGTTTTTGGTTAGTTAGCCAGTTTCCCAGCAGGTACTGAGGTCCCATACGGGAAGCTACTCAGCTATAGTTGTTTTTGAGCCAATATCTCTAGATTGATTATTTCAATTTGCTAGGATATTTTCTCGTCAGGGTACGAAAATGTTAGTAAATTCAACAAGGCCCTAATGCACGTTCTGAATACACAAAATCAAAATCTCAGCACAAAAAGACAGCACATAATTTCTTAGGTTTTAATTTACTTCTTTATCGGTGTTGTTTACAGCATGAAACGATTTTTGTTAAATACATGAACAATGCATAAAGTCTGTTTTTTCTTTAAAGATAAAAGTCAAAATGACATTATGTTGGCAATACAATGTAAAATTGTCAATGATTTCAATTTTTTTATGTAGAAAAGGCTTGTGTTGCCAACATAGTTACTAAATTTTTGACTTGGGGAATTATCTTTAATTAAACCAGATTTTTTCTACAAACGTCACTAAAAATGTCATTTTTAACGGATGCTGTCAGTGTCTAAAATGCCATTTTATGACACTGGTGTTAAAAGTGATTACTTTTAGCACTAGTGCTAAAAGTAATCACTTTTAGTGCGTTTGTAGAAAAAATAGTATATGATATTCGTGCTAAAAGTGATTTTATTTTGTTCAAAGGGATGGAACACTCCGCCTTCGGCGTCGTGTTCCAAACTTCCCTTTTCACAAAATAAAATGTCACTTTTAGCACTTATATCATAAATAACTATTATGTTATAAAAAAAAATTTATAAACAAACAAAAAAACATAAAAATGAAAAAAATGATATTTGTATAAATTGAACTCTCACAAACAAAATAATAATGAATCAACTAACCTGTGAACGCTTCTTACACACACACTGATAACAAATTGGATTGGACAATCAATTTTAATGCAAAATAAAAATGAAAATTGAATAATGAATAATTACAGACACGCGAAACGTTTTCTAAGGGACCAGTCCATCTTGTTCTGTAGTCTAGTTGCGTATTCTCTTGTAAAATTTTCGGTTTCGGTACCTTCGTTTTCTGTGGCGCGCTCGTTCAATCCTAAACTTGAGTGCATGGTTGCAACATCTACTTTTATTCAGTAAACGTTTTTTTAAAAAGTTAAGATTTTTAGAAATAATATTTTAAATAGGTGGTTTTCCTCATTATCATTAAGATATTCAGAAGAATGATATTCAATGGTCAATTCCCTTTAAATCCTTTGAATAAAAATTTATAACATCAATAGTCAATCAACTTTGTAGTTCAAAGGCAAGAAGTCATTTTAATTCAAAATCATTCAATTATATACATAGGAAACTGTATGATTATTCAAAAACTGTACATAGGATTGGATTCATACTAACATGGAAAGGTTAAGGGAATAGTCAGAAACAAGAAAATACCACTGGCGTACACTCGATCGACCTACGAACAAATGGAGAACCATACGAAAATATACAAAACTGTAGGATTATTTAAAAACTGTACATAGGATTGAATTATTCATACTAACATGGAAAGGTTCAGGAGGTAGTCAGAAACCGGCAAATACCAGAGGCGTACACTCGATCGACCTTCGAACGAATGTAGAACAACACGAAAATATACAAAACTGTATGATTATTCAAAAACTGTACCTACATAGGAAACTGTATGATTATTCAAAAACTATACATAGGATTGAATTCATACTAACATGGAAAGGTTGAGGGAATAGTCAGAAACAGGAAAATATCAGTGACGCACACTCGATCGACCTACGAACGAATGGAGAACCACACGAAAATATACAAAACTGTATGATTATTCAAAAACTGTACCTAGTGTGATAAAAACTAGACTTCAATTCTCCTAGATACTGCTAAGTGCTTATTTGCAACTTTAAAACATGACTACTATTCTACTGCGCTCCTTGTCTTCATAATTCCGCTGTTCTGTTGTCATTTTGACCAAATTCTTTCCTAATTTCTCAGAATTTATGAACAATCTTTAACTTCCAGCCACCTTCACTCATAAATTATAATTTCCTAAAATTCAGGGGCACTTGTCCCTCTAAACTAAAGCCTCTAAATCCTAGGCTCCCCTTTTACTCAATCGCCTCTGCTTCAGTCCTCATTTTTTTAGAGAAAGAGTACCTACCATCTTTCAACGTCAACTTAACCCCTTTCTGTTAGTTTTCTATGTTTTCCTAACATTTGATGATTAGTTTTACTCCAGTATCCAGATGTATAGTAAAGGCGCGTTGTTCCGATTCGATTTTAGTTGATCAACTTTAGTGAATCAACTAAAATTGATCAAGTTTTTGTTTCACACGTTTAGCGAAAATTGAATTTGTAAGAAGCTTATTTTAAGCTGGAAAGCTGGCAAACCTCACACAGGACATGGACAAAGATAATATGGATAATTGGTTAGTTTGTTGTCGATCCCTTAATTGTAATTGGTTGAGGATTGTCTTGACAATCTGAAATAACAGACTTCTGTTGTTTTATTTCGATCCAATCCCAAACAAAACCTCAACCAATTATAATATGGATATTGTGACAATATCAATACAGAACAGTTAGGATATAAAACAAGGAACTAACAGCAAAAGCAATGGAAAATGTCATCACTCATCCCGAACATCCATAATGGATACGCATCAGAAGAAGAGGAAGTTCATTAAAAATGGCGTTATGCATAAAAGTTATTATCTAGTGGTTTACTGATTCGGGAACAGAGGAAAATAATATAGGGATGAGCAGACAGCATAAAAAAAAAGTTTTTGGGTGTATAGAATTATGCTCTAATCTACCAATCAGCCTAAATTTGTACCCTATAGTATGACAAATTAATCCCTGGACAAAATTATAATAGGATAGATTTGGAAAAGACCGAGTACGGACAAAGGAAGATGTGCAATTTTTATCAGCACTGGAAGGAAGGAGAAAAAGGGTACCCTATATCCCCTATCTAGGGTTGGGAAAGCACCCCGTTAAACGACAAATTTTAATTTACAAAAGATATCCTTATCCTGGTTTTCATGCATTGTTTATCAAATAAGTGATTTTTTAAATAATTTTTTCTTAGTATACTTAACTTGTTACTTATCACTTTTAATAACAACTAGTCAGAAATAATATAATACAATTACATCAAAAATCCTACTATTTTCCTATTCAATATGCAAATTCTTTTCAAATACCTATATTATTAGGCATTTCCTGGATTATGATCGAACAGGACAAATATTACAACGTGTAAGTAGGTAATTAAAAAGAAAAATGCCTTTGGCTAATAATTAGAAACTTTTAATTAATCATTAATTCATTAATCAACTAATTATTTTTTGTTATAAAATGGTAGACCCATTTTTTATCGAGAGCATTGTTTCATCAATAAGTGGCAATATGTATAAATTTGTTATTGTTGTTTTATTGGTCTTCGTTTGTGGTAGTAATGCTAAGGTAAGCCTGACAATTTCCGACAGTATCTTTCAAAAAATGTATAATAATTACGTAAGTTTGATATAAAAATTCCATATTATCATAGTTAAATAGCCATGAAAAAGAGTATAAAAATTCTTGCTTCCATTAAAAAAATTTATACTTAGTTGAATTAAAATGAAGTTTTTAATATGTTGTTTTGTGGTTTTGATGGCTTCTCGTGCAGATGCCGTTAATGCTTTAGGGGTAGAGTTTGATAAGAAGGTGTATTTTTTAAAATAGAGATTGTTTTTAGCTCACATTACCACCAGAGCTACAAGAATACGTAGACGATTTGCACAAATTATGTCTCGGAAGATTAGGCCTAGAAGAAAGTAAGGTTTCTGCATTGATTTTGTGATTATTGTACTATTTTGTAACTTTTAGATGATCATCAAGTCTATGATATCAAGGATAAAGACGAAAAAATGATGGCAAGTTTAATAGTGATTTTTTTTCTCAATTGTCTCTAATTTTTCAAATTTTTAGTGTTACATGAAGTGTCTTATGTTGGAATCCAAATGGGTGAGTATGGAGTATGCAACAACGATAAACATTTATAATATTTAAATTTACAATTTAGATGAAACCTGATGGTGTAATCGATTATGACTTTATTGAAGCACAAGCTCATCCGGACTTTAAAGACCTTTTAATGGCCGCTGTGAACAAATGTAGGAGTATTGATGGTAAGAATGGATTTTTTAGAGAAAAATGAATAGATTCTATTCTAATTTCTAATTTAATCATTTCGAGCTTATGTTGCAATGAGTAATGATTTTTCAGGACATACAATATAGTTTCGAAACTTGATATACATATATTTCAGGGAGTTTTTAATTTTTGATTTAATAATAGCTCTTTTCCAACCGACATGAGAACCGTTCTAGAACGGTAATTTCCAGTCGATCAATTCATTTGTGAATTAGAATAAACGTTCAAAGTATTCAAAAATAGGTGAGCAACTGGATATTACCGTTCTAGAACAGTTCTCCTGTCGAGTGAAACAGCTTATATCATTATTTTAAAAAAGTTTCAAGAACTGGAAAAGCTCAAAAATTATTTTTAGGATTTTAATAAATTATCTACCTATATTTTCAGGATAGGTTTCACTACCTGCTAACAAATATTTATCATTTCAGGTGCAGATTTATGTGAAAAATCGTACAATTTCAATTATTGCTTGCATGAAGCTGACCCAGTTGTAAGTTTTTTTTTTTTTATTTACCAAGTTTCTTCTTTAAATTATATTTTTTCAGAATTGGTTCTTGGTTTAAATAAAGGAACCCATTTCAATGACTACCTATATGCTATGGAAAAAGGACCTGTACTGTAGTTTCTAATTTGTGTTGAGTAACTAATAAAAGCACACGAGCATCCCATATACTTGTTTTCTTGAAGTTAGGTACCTACATACAATTTTCACACACAAATTGACAAGAGGTACCTTATACACTCATCATAAAAATACAAAATTATGTAAAACAATACAGGAGGGTTTATTATTACATTCAGTGGAAATAGAATTAAGTTCCAGAAATCATTATTTTTAATGCTTGAACAGACTTCTGCCATATATTCTAGAAAGAGTTTGCCAAAGAAACCTTTGAGTCTGAGCAAATGTATGTCAAACCAAAGAAGTTTTCAGCTTAGGTGGGCCGGAAAGTGAGCATCTCCTCCACGGAATATTGCAATCAGACGCGAAGACCAATCAATCTTTATAGGTAAAGTGCATGGTCATTATTCGTCTTGGTCAGTAACTGTATAGCAATAGATTTGTTAAAGCCATGAAGTCCGAGAAGAAAGAATTATCCAGCTTTTTTAAATTAATTAACCTAAAATCTCGTTAGCACTTCATCAAACGATTTTTCAGGTATTGTAGATGCAGAATTGATGACATATATATATTAACTAGTTAATAATGTGGACACATGATCAGTCAGTGAGGAAGTTTTCAGCAGAAAAAGCAACTAGGGTTCAGTGTTTCCTTGTAATTCAGTGTTTGCCGGGAAAATCCTTCTGCTTAACCTTGAATCAGCTTAACTAAGCCCTGCCAATAACCAATACAAACCAAAAACTAATTTAATTAAGATGTCTTGCTTTTTTCAAACTTCTAAATCATTCCAGTTTTTTTCCTTTACCCAGTACAAAAGATGAAATAAAATCAGGCATGGAAAATGGCTGTAGTAGTAATGATACCCCATCCTCTTATCGCCTAATATGATGAATATGAAGAAATGTAGGTACAATGCAGTAGATAAAAAACAGGCAGCCCTTTGTGTATTCATAGATTTGAGAAAAGCATTTGATACCGTTTGTCACACAAAACTCATTAGAAAATTAGAGCAAAATGGGTTTAGAGGAAGTGCCTTAAATCTACTCAAGAGCTATCTGCAGAACAGACAACAGTTCGTGGAAATTGGTGGAACAGGGAGCGGTCGGAGAGCTGTCACCTGGGGTGTGCCTCAGGGGACAGTTCATGGACCTATTTTATTTTTAATATATATTAACAACCTCTTGAAGCTTGATTTTTTGGGAAGAGTCGTGAACTTTGCTGATGACGCGTTCGTATTTTATTCGGCAGAAGACTGGAACAGTGTCAGAACAGGAGCAGAAACAGATCTCGCAAACATTTTTAAATGGCTTGCACATAACAAATTGACTCTAAATATACAGAAAACCAAATTCCTTCCATTAACATCTTATAACAACAGCATACCTGAATTTGAATCGCTAAATATTTCTTATGATACTAACATAGAGAAAACAAATAAAATTAAATATTTAGGCATAATAATTGACCCGCATTTAAGATGGGATGAGCATGTGAGACAACTGGTGAAGAAAACAAGGTATCTTATTGCACGTTTCACCCATCTTAAAAAATACCTCGGAATTGATCAGATGAGAACTCTTTATTTTGCACTGTTCCAGTCACAGTTGACCTATGGTCTTCTGGGGTGGGGTGGTGTGAGAGACAATTATCTTGCAGAACTTGAGGTTTTACAAAAGTGGGTAATTCAAATAATTTACAATAAAGACAGGTTATATTCAACAGACAGACTATACAAGGAAACGCAAATTTTGAACATTAGACAGCTGTACTTTTCGAAACTGATACAATTGATAAATAAAAACAAGATAAGTCTCAGCATCACCGCACACCAACACAACACACGACACAAGTCCAATGTGCAAGTTCCTTTAATGAGGAAAGAAGTCGGGAAAAGACACTTCATTTTTTTTGCGCCGAAATTTTACAATTTTCTTCCGGAGGACGTCAAGCAAAGTATAAAAACTAAAAGATTCAAAATTCTTTTCAAAAATTGGCTTCATACAAAAGACAGAACTGAAATAAGAAATTTTTTCAATAGTTCCTGATAATAAATTAATAGGGTTGAAATTATTTTAAAATTATATCATTACCTACCTATTTATTCAAATGTGACATTGTACCCAATAGTGACCTAATATCCAATTTTGACATAAACCCCAATTGTGACCTAATACCCAAACGCGACTTCAAAAAAACCGATTGTGACATTTATAATGATAGTGAAATTAAACGTGAAAAGTAAAATTAAAAAAAGAAAAAAAAAATAATAATTACAACATAAGTAGCTTATATAAGCAAATACTCGACAAGCAAAATTTACTTTGCTTCTATGCCTAAATTGTTTATTTACCATTTATTGTTAAATATTAAGATTGTAATCTATAATGTGTTGGTGATAAATAAACTTATATTATTATTATTATTATTATTATCTCCCTTCTAAACTCCTTTGCCAAGCCAAGAAAAGTTAATCCTGACCAGGGTCAACTGGATCGTAGAAAACTTCTCCATACTCAAAACGAACAGTTCGGATTCCGCTCTTGTCACAACACTGTGATTAAGCTGTGACTGTGACGTCTATCAAGGGTTCAACAGGCGCATGAATACGACTCTTTTGCTCCTATACATGGCGCGCCTTCGATAGGGTCTGGCACCCAGGACTTATCTACAAACTGAATATAAAGCTGGCGTTGTACGCAGATGGCACCGCTGTTTATAGTCAATCCCTCTACACCAAATTTCAGCTAGCCCATCGCCTATCTACCCTTCAACCCTATTGATTAGTGGAAGCTTGGGTGTCAATGGACAAAAAATGGAACTGGTATGCTTCCATAAAAATCATACCCATAACCCCATGCCTATTCCACTTATCGTAAAAAACATCCCTGTCACTTTTTCCCCGAAGACAAAATACCAAATATCAAAAAAAGTTTCATATTTGATCAGAAAATGAAATTCCACCATCACGTATCCCATGCTTTGGCTCGCACCTTTAGTGCGCAGCAAAAACTCTATTCCCTCATCGGTCCTAATTCATCCCTATCCCCTGGAAACAAACTAAGAATTTATAAACAGGTCATGAGACGAATGTTAACATACTTATACTGGAACACAACAGGATCTAGGAACGCAGAGGCGACATCAGTTCCAAAATCGCATTCTGAGGGGAGTCTTATCAGAGTCCATCAGGTACGCCAGGATAAGAGATATACATGCATTCCCTATTTGTCTGACTACCTGGACGAAACCAGCGACAAATTCTACAGATTCCAAATCTATGGCTCACCACTTATGCGCAGCCTCACTGCGACTAGATCTGATCCAGACAACCCCATAGTGCACGGCCCACCATACAAGAATTCACCCATACCTATATTTTGAACCCTCATGATTCCCTGGTAAACTCTTGCACAATCCTCCCAAACCTCATTCTCCGACGATCCCCTACAAACTTTCTCACTTGCATCAGATCCATCTAGATCCTTCAGGTCAGGATTGGCTACGGTGCAGGGCTGACCACCCGATTTAAGCCATACCCGCGCACTTTTGCTGGTGAGAGCATTCTCCCCTTATCTTCAGGTAGGCCGGTAAAATATTGGGCCAATGCCAATGCTTGCCATTCGTGGTATTTATTACCATGACGTGTAAGTTAGGATACGAACAGGGGTTTGGTTTGATAGGTCCGAACATCGATCGCCAACTAAGAGTTGCCCACACAGCGCGCTAGGCGTGTACAGTATGCTGCGCCACAGTGAGTGTTTACTTATATAAGTCTCTGTCCTGGATTCGATTTAAGTATTGTATATATTATTATTTGTAGTTTTTTGGAGGGATAATCCCTCTTGCCTGTAAATGTATACATGGTGATTTATGTAGCCCGTGCATTAGCTTGCATGTGGATTAGATGCTTTCTACTAATCCACTTGCAAACTGGACAACTTCGAATGCACGGGCTATGTAAATCACGATGAATACAAATTCAAATATTGAAATAAATCTTTTTGAGTTTGAGTTGTTATTTGGAGCCACTAGAGGGTTGATACGATACCGCATTTGAGGTTTCATACCTGAGAACGCCCCAACTTATGGAAAATATAAATTTAGCAACGTCGCACTCCGCATAATAGGTCTGTTCGCAGAGAAATCACAAACCAGTCAGAGTGAATCTCATTGGTTGAAACTAGTTTTCTGACTGTTTCTGATTGTTTTCAACCAATGAAATTCGCTCTGACTGGTTTGTGATTGCTCTGCGAACAGGCCTATTATGAGGTCTGTTTCTATACACACAGACCAGTCAGAGCAAATTTCATTGGTTGAAAACAGTCAGAAAACTAGTTTCAACCAATGAAATTCGCTTTGACTGGTTTGTGATTTCTGCAGAAACAGACCTATGGATATGTCTAGTAATGGCCAAGTTCGTTTTTGGGTTTTTGTCATCTTTTTCGTCGATTTGCTCCGAAATTTTGACAGGCACGTGATTTGTAAACTGAAACTGTCTTATCCAGTCACGTGCCTATCAAAATTTCGGAGCAAATCGACGAAAAATATGACAAAAACGAACTCGGCCAATCAAAGATTTTTCTATTTTTTCTTACGGTACAAAAGATTCTTCTAAACTTGCATATGTGTATTATTATCAAACCCAAAAATACACACACAACTGTAAGATGCAACAAGATAGTTTTAGTAAATCCCACTATAGTGACTTATCCTTAATTTAATATAACATAACTCAATAAAGGGCCTGAATTTTAATAACCAATATCCTCTTCGCCCTTCACTTTTTTTACAACTAGAAATGTTATAATATGCAAATGATCCCACAAATAACAGAGTTGGAGGTATGATTTAATAGGTTTGTTCGGACTTAGTTCAGAATTAGTTCCTGAATTGAACTGCGCATGCGCATTTGTTCATTTATGTTCGATATGACTAAGGGCGGGTATTATAAAACTGCTTTGACAGTTAACTTGAAGTTAACTTTTTGAATTACTAATTCCAGAAGTTAACTTCAAGTTAACTGTCAAAGCAGTTTTATAATACCCTTAAT